GAAGGGGACACAGGTTGATAAGGTATGGCAGAGAAAGAGGTTGATGCTGGAAGCACATTATAGGTAGAAGAAGCAACATGTTCAAGGGGTCTGGAAGCAGGAGGAAGCATTTGGCTCTTTAGGGAACAAGAAGACAAGTGCGTTGCAAATAAGGAGTTAATCTGGCAGTAGTGCATATTAAATAGACATCATCGGTATAACGAATTGCTTTATGCATTATTTTAGGACATTTGGGTTTTATTCTGTCAATGGAGAGTCATCAACTTATTATCAAAAAGAGGGGAAACCATATCATCAGATCGACATTTTAAAAAATTAAGTTATTGTGGTTATGTGACCTTCAGACTAGATAAAACAACTACTGGCAAGAATGCCTATTAGAACCATCCAATTACTGCCAAAGAGTTGATCATGGCTCATGACCACCTTGTGTTTCAGAGTAGAACTGTTCTCCATAGGGCTTTCTATGGCTGATTTTTGTGAAGCACTTCATTGAATTTAACTTACCTAACACATCCTCTTGGAAGCCACTGTATGGAATGGACCTTTTTTGTTGTTGTTGTCGTTGAAAGCACCCTAACGAGACTAAGATAAGTGTATTACTGTGAGAATCTGTTTGCAGCCACCCACTGGTCACAGAGCATGTTTAAACAAGTTTCATTTGGAATAAACCCATGAAGGCATGAACTAGAACCGTAGCAGCAATATCTTGACTTACCCTTATATATTGGTAGAAATTTCAGTGTGGAAGGAAGAAGCCGGGATAGCCTCCAGGTGGCACTCCTGAGGAGTAGCAATGGAGGAGGAGCAGGCGGGGATAGGCAGGTTGTGCGTTTGCTTTGGAAGTGTGAAGTGGGAGGTACTTGTAGGCTATGGAAGTGGAGAGAACCAGTAGGAATTTAAAGCCAAGTGTCATTGGCTTGCGGGGTATTGGATGGCTGACATGGGGGTGATGATAAACACTCGAGATCTTTTCTCTAAACCCTAGGTTCCCCAATTTATTTGGCCTACTCCCTTTCCAGGAAAAAATAAAATCACCTTTCTGGCAATTACAAACACGTGTCCTATAGCCCATAATTGAGGATAAATTGCAGATATCTGCTTTTGCAGCTCCCTTGAATCTTCTTAGTGCTCACGTCAGGGAACCCCGTTCTCAGTGACCTGCACCTGTGGTTGAATTAGTATGGTAATTATGTGTGACAGCGGTGGTTCAGTGGTAGAATGATTGCTCTTCGTGTGGGAGACCTGGCTTCCACTCCTTGCCACTGAACCTCATGTGCGGCCACCACCCATGTTGGTGAGTGGCTCCATGTTGCTATGAGGGGGTTTCAGAGAAGCTTCTACACTAAGGTATCCTCGGAAGGACGGCCTGGTGATGTCATTCTGAAAGATCCATCCCTGACAGCCCTAGGGATCACAGTGATATGCTAGCTCTGCCATCGGTGTAGCTGGCTGGGCAGCATTTTGTTCCACTGTGTGCGTGGTGGCCATTTGTCAGGCCGGCAGCAATGCCCACCTCCATAGTTGCGTGGGATTTATGGTATGTAAGTAGTGTTGATGTGTAAGTATCATATGTAAGCATGGCATTTAAGTAATATTGTTTGCTGTTACTGCGCTACCTCACATTATGCCTATGTCCCCCTCTGTACTTGCTGCTGTGACTGACTTCATCCTTGAGACTCTAGAAAAAAGATGTCCTTTCTTGCTTTCCAATGACTGTCTTGTTAAACAGTCTCTTACACAAACAATAGGGAGCTGCATGATACTTACAAGATTTCAATCATACAGCTACAAACCTACATGATACTTTTAAGATTTCAGGTTTTTTTTAATAGTTTGAAAATAGTGGCTGCCGCTGTTATATTATATTGTAACTGGTATTATACTTTGAAGTAAAGCACATTCTCAAGCTGTTCTAAAAAATATAACTTGTGTAGCAGTTCAATCTATGTAACAATCTTAGAGGATAAAAAAATATAAGTTCACAATTTGGTTGCGAGATGAAATAGAGGATATTACAATAAATGTCTTAGCGGAAGTCCAAACATTTGAAGAGAAGGAAGTGGTTCATTCCACCCAACAGTAAAATAATAATTTTTCTATTATAAGATGCTGTTTTAGAAATCACTAATATTTTTTAAAAATGAGTGGATAGATAGGAGATAATAATGATATATATTTGATCAAGGATTCACAAGGGAGGGAGGGTGGGGAAAGGAGGGGAAAAAAGAGGAGCTGATACCAAGGGCTCAAATAGAAAGAAAATGTTTAGGAAATGTTGATGGCAACATATGTACAAGTGTGCTCAATAAAATTGAATAATGGATTGTTATAAGTTTTGAAAGAGGCCCGCAATGACATGATTAATAATTTTAAAAACAGTGGATAATAGGTATCATTAAATGCCAGAGGCAGAATTTAGTAGTCTACTTTTACGCTGCCAAATTACTTTGAATCTAACTTGGATTTTAGCTTGTCTTTTCCCCCTCAGAGTGCTGGGTGGGTGAAGCAGGTGTTTACATCATTTTGAGCTGTTTCTACTTTCACTGTATTCTAATTACTTGAGAATCTGCAGAGACTTCTGGAGTCATCACTGTTTTTTTTTCTTTCTTACTCCTTGTTAGAATCCCTCATGGTATAATGGGTTATACACAGGGCTGCTTTAATGTGACCAGATTTTAACATTGGTAAAGCGGGGCACCATTGACCGGAGGGAGGGTGGGGGGGGTTCTTGATTAAAAATTTGGTCTATATGGACCAAATAGACCATTTCCTAGCTTGTTGTGCATTCTTTCCAAAAAATCGGGACTTTAAAAAAACGCTGCGGGACGTTTTAAATCAGGACTGTCCCGCCAAAAGCGGGACGTCTGGTCACCTTATTCTAACTGCAAGGTCAGCAGTTTGAAACCACCAGCCTCTCCCCAGGAGACAGATGAGGTTTACTACTCCCATAAAGAGGTACAATCTCAAAACCCCCCAGGGGTAGTTCTACCCTGCCCTATAAGATCCCTATGAGTATGAATCAACTTACTGGTAATGAGTTTAGTGTTTGGGTTTTGGGACCTCTAGTTGTAGCCCTGAAAACACATTCAAACTATTCTTCAAAGACAAAATATCTATCTACAGCAGGAAAAGGAGATGAGGGGTGTTCTGTGCTTATAGAGTGACAAAGTATCTTGAAGTACCAAATTACATATTACCTTAGTACATCTGCTTCAAGGATATGCTTTATCACTTCAGCTATCTTTGCTTTTGCCCTTTTCGCTCACAAGCTTTTGATCTCTGAATGAAATCACAGTTCCTACTTATCATTCACTGATTACATGTTTGCAAATTTGCCTACTTGGTAAAATTAATTTCCAGCTCCAAATGAATACAAAATGTCATGACCATTTGTAGACATACAGTAAACCACCGCAACCTCCTGCAAATCGCATTGCCTCATGTGCAGGTTCCCGGCTGAGGCTGAGCCAGGTGACACCCTGCCTTCTCGCTTCAGCTCTCATGCTCTGAGCATGTGTCCTTTCCAGGATAAGTTTGGTGCCATTTTGGTGCTTTTGGTTTCACGGTTTGATTTCACGGTTTAAAATGGCCCTTAAGCATAGTGTACAAGTAGCGACTAGTACCCCGAGCAGGCTGTTATGTGCCCTACAGAGAAAATATGTGCCAGATAAGCTTTGTACAGGCATATGTTATAGTGCTGTTAGCCTCAAGTAGTATAGATTTATGTATTGATCAGGCGGCTCCTTAAGTGCTAGGATTGTAAGACTGCCTCTTGCAAACTTTGAATGTGTCCCTAGGAAACATTAGTTGCTAAAAGGACATCCTGTTTCTTAAGTTAGAAAGGCCGTGAAAAACAAAAACTTTCCAGGAGATGAATTGACCCACGTACCTACTCTGTCGCATTGATTTTGACTCGCAGACACCCGGGAACGCAGAGGAGAGCTGTCCACAGTTTCTGAGCTGTAAGTCTTTAAGGGCGCCGCCAGACTCATCTGTCTCTAACAGAGTGGCTTGTGGTTTCAAACTGCCAAGCTTGCAGTTAGCAGCCTGCCATTGAACCTGCAAGGGCTCCTGAATTGACCCAACAGCTACGATAATGGGCTTGACCACATCAAAGATCATGAAATTGGTGCAAGACTCGGCAAATTTAGTTCTGTTATATACAATAGCACATGAACTGGAACAGTTGATATGATATAAATGTGTCCAGAGTTTCACAGGTTCATGTCTCACTTTAGAGTTGACAGGGAAAGTCTGGGATGGGAAGGTGTTTTCTCATGGTTACCAGCTGAAGAGTGCATCTTAACCATGAGCTGTCTTATTACAATTTGGCACTTTTATGTTCACTATTTCTCCCCTTTTTGAAAGGAGAATTGGGGCTAAAAAGACTTGATGATACTTTTTTATATTACCGTGTTATACTCAGAAACTATAATTTCTCTACTATCACTAAACACATTCTGTGGTAAGCGTTTTTTATCGAAAGTTCTGATCCACATGCTTAATGAACTTTAACTATTCTGGGATTTCCAACTTAAAATTGTATTCATAGCTTTTAAGACTACTGGGAAAAGAAAATCATTTTCACTGTTGTCTTGAAATGTGTTTAAAAGCACTTAGGCCCCTTCAAAAGTTTATGCTTGAAACCCCGATTGATTTTGGTTCTACCTGCGTCTAAAATTTTTTACTCATATTTAAAATCAGGGTTAATCTTATCATAATTTTATGGTTTGATGCCACTTAGCAAGTGATCACATACAGAGCATAACCCATCATTATGAGTTTTTATTGCTTTCAGAAAGGAATGTGTGACAAATTTTTCTCAGACACACTGTCTCATGTAAATAACAAAATGCACAACATGGTCAGAAGATCCTTGGAGACTGTCGGGGAAAGATGTGATGATAAAGACTTTGCCTTCATCTGATTTTACTGATTTCTCCTGATTTTTCTCTCACTTCCCAATATAACCAGATATTTTTCTTATCCAATGCCAGGCATGCAGGAGGCCTCAATGAAGCTCACTGAATCCCTCCATGAAGTCTATGAACCTGATTGGTATGGGCGAGAAGATGTGAAAATGGTTGGTGAGGTAAGAGTTGGGGTCCCAGCCTTCAAGAGCCCTGGAAGACTCCCTGGAGGTGCTAGCAACACTTGCTTATAGAGTAGATCTTCTGTCCCTCCTCTGTCCCAGCCTGGCTGTAATCCTCAGTGCAGATCGTGTGCTCAGAAGGCACCATGCAATTTTGCTCTCTGGATCCTTCCAAGCTCAAAGTGAGACATGAAGATGATTATGAAACAAGTTAGGTAGAAAGCTATGAGTGAGACTTCTTTTTTCCTCAAATATCAATAGCATTTTTCTGCCCCCTACTACATGTCTTAGCAGCCCATTTGTAGTAGAAGAGTGGGGTACTCACCCACCCCTTTCCCTAAAGTTCCCTATCCACTAACCAGTTGCTGCAGAATTGACTCTGGCTCATGGTAGCCTAATATGTTAGAGTAGAAACTATACTCTGATGCAGGTGGATTTTTCAGAAGTAGATTGACAGGCCTGTCTTTAAGGCACTACTAGGTGGATTTGAAACTCCATCCTTGGAGTTAGCAGCCAAATGTCTTAACTATTTACTCCGCTCTTCTCCTTCCCTGAAGGTAGAGGCAGGAGCTACAAAGAGCATTGTCACTTCCACTTTAACACTGGTCTACAGTGCCTGAGGGCAAATGTAAGGGGGTCTGCTGAAAAGAGATCTCATTTCAATTATGGTTATGGTTATGAAGGATGGAAATAACCTGGTTATCAGACAGAGAGGATTGGAGAGATGATTCTAGTAGATTAAAATGATAAATCTGACTTGAATGGTTAAAACCATGTCATTTGATCTCCATTTTGATACATTTTGTGTTTGATTTGGTTTTCAGTATTCTCTGGGGTGGTTTTTTTGTTTACCCTGGATTTATCTGTGGTGTATTTTTATCATGTTTTGGTAGCCTTCTTGACTTTCTGTTATATATTTTTCCATTTTTCAATATATGAAACTCAGGATGGGTGAATCTATAGACAATAACTAGAATAAGGGTTACTGGGGATATTGCTGGCAGGGGTAAGGGGGGTGCATTACTGATATCAAGGAGCCCAAGAAAGAAGAAAATGTTTTGAAACTGAATGTGAAAGCAATTGTACAACACTGCTTGATATGACTGAACTATGGAATGGTGTGCAGTGTGGATTAACTCCTAATAAAGTGGTTAAAAAAGAGAGAGAGATGTCATTTCAGTAAGGCCTTGACCTTAGGCATGTCTTAACACCTGAAATCAACTCACCAAGGGACTTTCGGGTGGTAAGGGTGAGAAAAAAGGTATTGCTGTTTCGTGTAAGCCAAAATGTACAGAAACCAAGAAGAGTAACTCTGTGTGGTGTTAGACAGCTTCTTTTCTTTAGCTTTAGTTTCCTCACCAACAAAATGAAAAAACTATCCCTACTCACTCACTCACTGCCATAGATTTGATTCTGGCTTACAGCTACCCTACAGGACAGGGTGGAACTGCCTCTGCAGGTTTCCGAGCCTGTCGTGTCTGACAGGCATAGGCAGCCTTGTCTTTCTCCGGAAGAGCATCTGGTGGTTTTGAACTGAAGATCTTTGGGTTAGCAGCTCAACACATCACTTCCGTGCCACCAGGATTACCTACTAGTAACACATTGAAGCCTTTGTACCGATCGATCTAGTTAGTACTCAATATACATTTTTACTAATGAAACAAGTGTCAACCAGGGATTCTCAGACATCCTAGTGCTTTGTTAGGCCAAAGAGGACTTGTGTGTCTGTCCTTCAATCCAAGTGAGTTCATGGCAGCTGATTTAGATGGAGCACTCCCAAAATCGGTGTTGGAAGGGGAAGGCCTGATGTGGGATGAAAGGAACCTCTACAGCCATTAGAAAGACGAAAATACTGACTCCCCAACATTGATCTTCAAGATCTTGATATGACTGAGATAAAAAGAGATTTGTTCATGAGGAGAGTTCAATTGGCCCTATTACATTCTTCAAAATATTTCAGGGTATGCATTTGGCAAAATCAGCCTTCAAGAATCATTTCAAATACAATCGTTACATAATTATATCTTTTCTCATTTCTTCAATAAAAGTACGGTTTCAACATCATATTGCTAAATGCTTAACTTTTTCTTTAAACTTCTGGTTAATAGTGTATCATTTTATAAAATTCATTACTGAAAGAGGAACATTGCTATAAAGAACATAAACTATTTTCCGAAGACAATGTTGTATTCTATGTGTTGCAAATGCTATTATTGATGTTTATTTCTTAAGTAAACAATTATCTCTCTCATCTTGGTACTTGCAGTGGTAGGAGTTGGGGATCCTTAATTGCTGGTTCAAATAGGAACTTTTCTGATTAGGAAGGGATTGAATATTGAATGATCAGAAGCTCTGCTTACAATGGATGATTTGCCTTTTGAACAGAAGATTCCTAATTTTTGTTTGCATCAAATTCTGGAATTGGGATCTATAGCATATAAAATGTTTTTGAAATGTGGAAAAGGCATGAAAGCACCCTCCTCCCCCTATGCCTCTTTCCCCCAAAAAAGATTTAAGCAAGTTAAAAATGTATCCTTCACATAAAGGAATTTGGAGATCAGGAGCCCAAGTAAATCATGGTGGACCTAAAAGCATCGGGGACCCATCTTTGTCATCTTTCTTCTCCAGATCCAAGATGATTCTTTGAGGTCTGGCCATCAGCCCCCATTCTCTTCCAAGTAGCAAGAAGGAAGAGGAAAAATGCTTCATTAAAAAAAAGAATGCTTCATATACACCTCATTGGTCATTGTCACACGGCTACACTTGGCTGCAAGAGAAGCTAGGAAACCCGGTCTTTCTCTTAGATGGTCATGTACTCAGCTAAAATTGGTGCTTTTGTTCTTCATGAAAGTAGCTCTGGTGGCACAGTGGTTAGGCACTTGGTTACTTACCAAAAGATTGCTGGTTCGCATCCCCTGGCTGCTCTGTGGGAGAAAGTTGCAGCACTCTGCTTCTGCAGGGATTCCAGCCGTGGGAACCGTTTGGGGCGTTTTACAGCCACGAGGCTGTTCCCCTTTGTCCTTCCAGTGTCACTATGAGATGGAATTCACTTACAGGCAATAAGTTTGATTTTCAGTGTATTGTTAGGGAGAGGAAAGGGTAGGTACTGGGGAAGCAAGAAGCAGCATCTTCTACAAGTTCTCAAACTTTATAGAAGGAAAAATAAAAGGCGATGACATTTCTTGAGCACCTGCTATGTGTCTAGAATGCTGCAAAGTACTTGATGTTATCAAGCTATTCAGTTGGGAAAATTAAACTGCCCCAGAGAGACTAAGTTATCCTACGTTCCGCATTGAGAAGTGAACCCTGGTGTGGGGAGGCAGGCTTGTCTAACAGACAGATCATGGTCTTGGAACTCAAGTGGGCTGAGCTGATTTTGAATCTGTTATTGATCAGTTATGTGACCTCGGGTAGAATATACATCTCTAGCTGCAAGGTCCTTTTTTGTAAAGTGCTAATAATAAGACTAGCAGTACAGAGACAGGGTGATGCCAGAGGTTCAGGCCAGATTCAGAAGAGGGCATGGAGCAAGAGGTATGTATCAGTCCTGCTGTCAGATGGATCCTGGCTCCAAGTAGAAAATACCAAAAGGATATTTATTTGTGTTTTATTGACTAGGCAAAGGCATTCAACAGGGTGGGCCTTAATAAACTATGGATAACCTGAGAGGAAGGGGAACTCCAGAACACCTCATTATGTTTGTACGCAAATTGTACGTGGATCAAGAGGCAGTTGTGTGAACAGAACAAGGAAATAATGCATGGTTTAAAATCAGGAAAGGTGCGTGTCAGGACTGTATCCTTTCACTGTACAATTTCAATCTGAATGCTGAAAAATAATCAAAGAAGTTGTCATTTAGGAAAAAGAATATGGCATCAGGATTAGAGGAAGGCTGATTAACAACCAGCGCTATGTAGATGACACACCTTGCTTGCTGAAAGTGAGGAGAACTTGAAGCAGTTGCTGATGAAGATCAAGGATTACAGGCCTTCGGTATGGATTGAGATTCAATGTAAAGAAGACCAAAATCGTCACAAGAAGACCAATAGGTTACATCATGATAATTGGAGAAAAGGTTGAAATTGTCAAGCACTTTGTCTTGCTTGGATTCACAATCAATGCTCATGGAAGCAGCAGTCAACAGATCCAAAGACGAGTTGCATGAGATAAATCTGCTGCACAAGATCTTTTTAGAGTATTGATAAACATGGCTGTCACTTTGAGGACTGAGGTGTGCTTGACCCAAGCCATGGTATTTTCCCTGGCCTCATCTGCATGTGGAAGTTGCACAGGGAATAAGGAAGACCTTAGAAGAATCGATGCATTTGAATTGTGATGCTGGGGCAGAACATTGAAAATATCATACACTGCTAAAAGAACAAACAAATCTGTCTTGGAAGGAGCATGCCCAGAGTGCTCCTTAGAGTCAAAGATGGCAAGAATTCCTCTTAGATGCTTTGGGCATGTTTTCAGGCGAGACCAACGAGTCCCTGGAGAAGGACATTTTGCCTGGTATAAGTAGAAGGTCCTTCATGAGGTTGATGACACCATGGCTGCAGCAGTTGTCTCAGGCATGGGACATTTGCAAGGATGGTCCAGGCCGATGCAGGGTTTTGTTCTGTTGTGAATAAGGTCAGTATGGTTTGGAACAGACTAGATGGCACCTAACAACAACAACAATAAGAAGACTAGTCTGTATTGGGAGTCCTTTGTGGTACAAATGTTTAACATTCTTGTCTATTAACTGAAAGGGTTATGGCTTAAGTCAACCAAGAGGTGCCTTGGGAGAAATGCCTGTTGGTTCACGTTTAAAAGACCTGGCATTGAAAGCACCGTAGAGCACAGTTCCACGCTGACGCACATTGAATTTCCGTGAGTCAGAATCACCTTGATAGGCATCAGTTTGGATGTTTTATTTTAGTGGTGAGAATTGAATGATAAGGTGAGAGGAATGCATATATGCCACCTGTAAGTGTTTAACCCAATATCTTGACATAGTGATAGTAATGATGAAAACATTTAATTTTTTATATGTATATCATAATTCATACTTCACAAAAGATGCTAGGGCCCTTCCCAACATGACTATATAGTTTCTGCGCTCCTTGTGGAGACTTCTGCAAAGATTTTTTTACTGGTTTGTGTCTAGGTTGGTGAGTTAGTTAATTGTGTCAGCCTGGCCGATAATCACATGTGGGGCTGGTTGAAAGGCGGAGGGATAAATGGGTGGTGAAGCCTCGCCTTTCTAGTTCTCGGGTCTCTTGTTGTGTGATGGTTGCACCGGGTGCAGCTGCCTTAGCAGTTCCCTGCTTCAGCTTGCAAGATTGACTTCCTACAAGACATCCCCAAGGAGAAGCTACATGGACCTATCCCGATGCAGCCCTGGGTGCTGGAGCAGCCGTGTGGAGACCCCTGCTAGTGCTGAGATGCTTGTTCGTTCGCTGACTCAGCTTTCCTCCTGCAGTCGGCATCATTGCCTCTGTTTTGTGAGGTGGAGGACTTTGTGGACTGGTGTTGGGTTAATGGGTTAATGTTGGACTTGTGGGCTTGGGCAACATTGGGTTGGGATGTTTTCGTGATGCACCTTTTCTTTACATAAAACTCTCTTATACATGAGTCGCTGTGGATTTGTTTCTCCAAAGTACCTAGACTAATACAGTTGGTTTCCAATCTCATGGACTATTTCAGAAGCAAGGTATCTCAGTCGAATACGTTACAGTTGCTTAGCTCCAAAGTTCGTCTGTGGAAGACCCCTAGCAAGAAGAATTGACACAGTGGCTGCCACTTGGGCTGCAGCCCAACAGTACTTGTGAGGATGTGCTTTACCTTGTTGTCCATAAGGTTGCTGTGAGTTGGAACCAACCCAACAGCATTGACCAACCACACGGTGCTGTTTTTTTTCAGGATCCAGTGTTGCACTCTACATATGCCAAATGATATTTTTGAAGTTTATTCTTTAAATAATTAGTATCTTATTTATTCTTCAGTAATTCAGAACCTGAGATGCATTTTTTTCCTTAATGAGCTGAACATTCTGGTGAGCGATATTGTAAATTAGAGCAGGTAGATAAATTACTTTGAAATATTATGTTATTTCTTAATAACCCACAATATTACTAATAGGCAATGCCTGGGGAAGCAATGGTTATTGGATTTTATGATTTCAGATTATTTTTAGAAGTTGGGGTGAAAGTATCCAATTAAAATAATTCAACAGTTATCTCTGTATTTCTCTTTTCCTTTAGAAATGTGATGTTCTGTGGGAAGACTTCCATCAAAAACTAGTGGATGGTTCCTTGCTGACACTGGATACTTATCTGGGCCAATTTCCTGACATAAAGGTATTTTCCTCTGTGTCTCTAAAGGGAAGAATTAAATGACTCCATATAGTTATTGAAACATGAGGGAGAATAAGGCAAATTAAATGTGGTCAAACTGACTTGAAAGCCAGTTGTCAGTTTTTCATTTGTTTAAGCATGGGACTTTTATTCTGTCCCTATCAACCGGAATTGAAATCTAACTTCAGTAATCTCATTTTCTCCTCTAGTGCACTGCTTCAACTTTATTTCTCTGTGAAAACCTTTTAAGCTTATAGATATGAAATTATAAATCAGAGGTGCCAAAGAAGGTTCCAGTCTTCTTTTCATTATCTAGCATTTGACAAAAATTTCCATTCGACCGTACAATAGTCACAAAGAAAGAGATTTTCATCACAAACTGTTCTTTCCTTGAAAACTCTTTACGTTGCATGTGTTCATAGTGCACCTGGGTATTTTTTCCTTCCTTTGAATTTTCAGGTATAATTTATACTGCTAAAAATATGAGTAGCTCAAAAACATTTGCATCTGCATCTAAAAATATCTTACCTAGAACATTTATCTTAGTTGATACTCAGATGCATTGTAAAAGTAAGCAACTTGAAATCAATGAAGGTTGAATACAGAGGATTTGGAATTAATTTTAGATGCAAAGGAGGTTTCAAACCCAAACTTTGGGTTATATAAGAAGGCTTCAAAATATTTGTGTAAAGAGGAAATTAAAAGGAATTTTTCCATGAATGTTTTGAGTCTTCCTGTATAGAGCTAATGAGTAACATAACTGATCTGCCCGGGTTATTTTCCTTGCTCAATTTGGAGTGCCTGTCCTGGACAATGTAAAAGGAAAATGTAGACCAGAAGTCAAGATCATGAAAAGAATGAACTTAATGGGTGAAAACCTTGAGACTATGGCCCTTACCAAACCCAACTCAACCCAACCCAACCCAATGCAACCCAATCAAACCCATAGAGTCCATTTCATTGTGTATGCGTCCTGTAGGTCAAAGGAGAACTGCACCACACATTATTCTGATAACTGTAAATCTTTCTCCTTTGGAGTAGTTGGAAGGTTTGAACTACCAACATGGTGATTAGCAGCCCAATGCTCAGCCCACTTTGCCACGATAGCTCCTCTGTTGCCCTTAGAGGCCCTTCCAACCGGAGCAGAACCCACACCCAAAGATCATCAATTATCTAAATAATAGGCAGGCCCACAGGACTATATGAGTGAGGAGCCTCAGAGGAGCTTGTTTCTCAGGATGGTCAACCATAGGAGCTAAAATGGGGCCCTTGGGCATGTGCCCCAAAACGGTGCTCAGAAGACAGGAAGGGGCAGGAAAGAAGGACAAATCAAAACTGGGAGCCTAGAGAGGAAGTGGAAAGAGTGCTGTTACATTGAGACTGTTGTACTCAATGTCACAAGACAAAACGTGGTTAAATGGTTGAGTGGGAAACATTTTGCCCTATAAACTTTCACCTGAACCACAATAATTTTTTTTTTAAAGGTGGTAATAGTGGCTTGTGTTTGAAACTATCAATACCATATATGCTCGTGCATAAGCCATTTTTCAGCAGATTTTAAAATCTAGTTTTTGTAGTAAAATCAGGTGCCTTGGCTGATATTCGGGTTGGCTTATACTCAAGTGTATATGGTAAGTCATAACCCCTCAACAGACTTTTGTGCTTATTGTCCTCTGATGTGCAATTTCATCTTTACCTGACCTTCTTTGTAGCCCTTTCCAAAGACCAGAAAAGGGCTTGAAGCAATGTGTCATGGCCTTGGCTGTGAAACATAGTGAGATTTGTTGGCCAAAAAGCACTCCTATGAAGGACTTTAGTCATTTCTTGGGCCACACAAAATGCTTAATGCTTGCTAGCCAACATACAAAGTTTGTCTGTGGATACAAGGGCCACTAGAGTGCATCCGACTAGCCCTGTTGGGAAAATGTCCTGAGCAACCAACCCACGGAATGGATTCTCAATCATGGTATCATCATAGGAAGTGTGATGCTGCCTTGAGCTATTGGGTAACTGTATCCTAGTTCAGAAAGCATAGATCAAGTTTTTTAAATGTACTTATTTTTGCTTTTAATTCTGACAATTACAAAAATTAAGTGAAAATTTGGTAACCCTGTGAGGTTTCATAGATCTACCCACTGGAAAAGTGTTCTGATATTTAGAATACTTACTTCAGATGTTTTCTGGGAAGGCGTATCATTTGAGGAGAAAATAGACTCAGAGTCACTGTAATAGTTTAACAAAACAAACAAACAAACAAAAGGTACTGAGTCAATCCCAACTCATTGTGACCCCATGTGTTACTGCACACGTGCATTCCATTTAGCTGACCAGGAGAAGTAGATCTCCATATCAGATGTCAGCGAGTTGTTTAATGCACGGTGAATTAATAGCTTTAAATGATCAATTAGAAATAAATGAAAAGGATAAACGGGAAAATAATACCTTCTTAGATAAAACTCCAAAGCAGCTTTCCTAATTTATCTCACGATCTAAATGTGTGTGTGTGTGTATGATACATCCACTGAGAATAAGATTCAGCTAAGTAAACACGGACTGTGATTGCCAGTGAGAGGAAGCCATTTAACATGTTGAGTTGCAGGAACAAAAACAGCAACATCAACAAAATGTGAAGGATTTGGCCTGATGCTCCCCAGCATCAGTTGGCCTGTTGCTCCCCAGAGATAATTTTCTAGAGCGAATTGTCCACAGTCTCAAGGATCACTGGATTTTGGAATATAAACACACAGAAGTATCTATGTTGAAACAGTACAACAAAATTATGGTAGATTTTATTACATAATCTTTTCAGATTGGCCTGATCAGAAAGATAAAAATCTCATTAGAATATCTTTTAAGCAAAATTTTCCCGTGTCTATAGTAATTTCCTATACTGCCATAACAAACTACCATAAACTGGGTGGCATAGTGGTTACTTATTGAGCTGCAAGCCTCAAGGTCAGCTGTTCAAAACCACAAGCTGCTCCTCTAGAGAAAGAGAAGGCTTTTGACCCCAGTCGAGATACAGTTTCAGAAACCCCTACTCTATCACTAGGGGGTCACTGTGAGTCAGAATTGACCTTGACGGTGAGTCTGGTTTCCTGATTTGGGTGACTTATAAGAAAGGAAACTAATTGTCCCATAGTTCCGCAGGCTGGTAGTATGAAGTCCGGTGCTGGCGGGTGGTTTTCTCTTTAAAGCTTTAGGGGAAGAATGTACTTGTCTCTCCGTAGCCCCAGACACTTCCTTGGGTTGTAGATGCCTCTTCACAGGACTGCCATCCCTCTGTGTCTGTCTCAGTGTCTCTTCTCTTCGATAGTGACACCAGTCATACAGAAATAGGACTCGCCATACTCCACTAGTGCCTCATATTAACGGGTAATACTGTTGAAAACTCTATTTGTAAGCAAGGTCACATTTACAGGTACCAAAGATTAGAAATTCAACATAAATTCTGGTGATAGGGGACCCAATTCACTCCCAAACTGGGTCTCTGCTTGCGATGACTCACAAAGATAATTTCCAATTACCAAACCAAATGTATACTAGAAATTTAGGAATGATATTATTGACATCTCTTTTTCTGTATACTTGGAAGATAAATACATCTTGAAGTTTTATGTGTGTCAAAGAGAGAGTAGACCTGTCTCTCTCTCATTCTCATTCAGAAAAGCCAAATCTACTCAGAAATTAACCAACCAGACAGTCAGAAAATGGTGCAGTGCCACGAGAAAAACAGTCGGAGAAAGTTTGGTGGTTGTGGTTAGGGACCACTGAGTCTGTTCTGACCCTTAGCTGCTCTGTGCCCAGCAGGATGAAGTCCTTCCAGGTCATGCACCCTCTTCATGATCATTCCTCTGCTTGAGCCCGTTGTTGCAGCCACTATGCCAGTCCGTTGTTGAGGCCCTTCCTCTTTCTTGTTACCTGTCGACTGCAACACAACGTGATGTCCTTTTCCAGGGACTGATCCCTCCCAACAATATGTACAATGAATGTATGTGCAATGAAGGTTTGCCATCCTTACCTTGAAGGAGCAGTTTAGCCAGACTTACTCCAAGACATATTTGTTTGTCCTTTTAGCAGTCCATGGTACTTTCAGGATTTTTTTCCAATTCAAATACATCAATTCTTCTTCAGTCTTCCTTAATCTATGTCCAACTTTCTCATGCATACGAGGCAACGGAAAATAGCATGGCTTGGGTCAGGATCACCTTAATCCTCATTGGGCAGCCGTTTTACTTAATGCAAGGTGTCTTTTGATCTCTTAATTTATGGTTCCTTGAGCACTGCTTGTAGATCCAAGCAAGATTAAATCCAAGCAACTCCTCCGCAGATACCTTTCCAGTCTTCTCTAACCAGAGGGCCCCATCTTCTGTCACTATCTCTCCTTTTTTTAAATTGAACTATATTGTATTTTTAAAAATCATTTTATTGGCGGCTCTTACAGCTCTTATAATAAATCGTGTCAAACATATTTGTACATATGTTGCCGTCATCATTTTCTAAACGTGTACTTCCTATTTGGTATCACCTCCTCTTTTTTCCCTCTCCCCTCCTCCCACCCTCATGACCCCTTGATAACACAATATTCCTATGGTTCTTTGAGGCTTCCTCACCACCCCCACCACCACCACCACCATCATCCGCTATCATGACCCCAGTCCTGCCTTTCAGTTCTCCGTAGACTGGAGCACGTACACTGGTACAGATAAGAGCTCTTGACACATGGAATTCAGGAACAGAACTGGGAGTAGAGATGTCAGGGGGGTGAGGAGGGAAAGAAGGGGGAACTGATCTCATTGACCTTATGCACAACCCCTTTCACAAAGGGGGGTGAACAACAACAGAAACGTCAGTGAAGGGAGACAACCGTTGGTGTAAGACATGTCCCTGGCTCCAACAGTTATCTGCTTCCATTCACTAGGCCTTCAGTAGTGGACAGTGTTTCAAAGCGCTGCATACAGTTGTCAGTGGCTGCTTGCTCAGAAGTGGGGAGCCAAGGCCTTCTTCATTGTCTGTTCTTGGTCTGGAAGCTCCACTGAAACCTGCTCACTTTGGGTGCCCTTGCTGACATTTGACATACCCGTAACATGGTTCCCAGCAGCACAGCAGCACACAGGTCGCTACATAATTGCCAGGGAGACAATTTGGAAAGTAGGATGTATCACTGGCTTTAGAACTTGAAGGATTTTTCTTCTTTGTAAATGGACTTAAGTTATTCTGTATGCCTTTTCTCAGTGGGTTGAAGTAAGAAGTAGGTAACGGCTCCATTTCCTCAAAAGATTAGAGTGGAGTGATTCTATAATAAATGTGTTATTGGTGGAAATGAGGCTTTTGATGAAAAGTAATGAGAATTTTTAAAGCATGGAACATGGTTGACTTACTTGACTCTTGTCATCATCAACAGGGCATGTGTGTTTAAAACCTTAAGTAAATTTCCAAATATTTACCCCAACCCATTGATTAGGGTAAGGAAGTACCATTCATGAGGGGATGGTGTTTAAGTTAGCCTGCTGTGATTGGCAGGGCACCCTGTGACATGGTTCCTATTATGTAACACTGACATAATCGTGTAAAATCAGTGTTATCATAAGAGCCAGCTTGTCGCCAGCCCAAGCAGGCTTACAGCTGTGAGCAGTTATTGTGAAAATACAGTTTAGATTCTAGCTGAGCTCCACGCATGAGCAGCTAAGCATGTCTTTATTGTAGTGTATCAAAATGAATTTGAAAGTGGGATTTTTATCAGAATTTAAAGAGAAAATAGAATAGCTCATTATTATTTTCCTGTAGAAGACAGTGGGAAATCTCAATGAGTTTTAATTAAATTCATTATATTACAATTAAACTTACCATTGGACAGTTAAATAAAAAAATGTATCACCTTCAATAAAAAAGGCTAAAGTGTATTAACTCTACCTGACTTAGATTTGATTCTTTTTCCAAGTTTACCAAGTATCAGACAGGTAAGGGGAGAAGACTGATGTGTTTCCTAGCATCTGTGTATCAAAATGAATGATGGTTTTTATGATAGTTACTTCCACCATGGTAAGTTGTACTCTGTAATTGACTTGTCAGTTACACAAGGAAATGAATCACCTTCTTTATTTCATTTCTTCTTTGAAAGGATGCACATTAGCAGGTCCTGGATAGAGTAGGAGAGAAGTGTAGGACAAAAACTTGCCTCTCTGCCCCTTAGTCACCCTTGAGACCTACAACGGAACTCACACCACGTGACTCAGTTTTCAACCAAGAAATAAGACAGGTCAGTAAGGGGAACAGCGCTCGTGGAGCATGCGCACTTCAGAACAGTCCATCATTTGAGATCACAGGGGCAGCATTTACCCAAAGGCAGAGCGCAGAAGTGTTAGGAAGGGAGGAATGGAACCCAGAAGCACAGGGAGAAAGAATGCTATATTGAGGCGGGGGTGGATTCTAATAGATATGATGAAACAAAATGCACAGGAATTATTGAATGTTGTGAAACTGATGATATACTCTTTGTAATGCTTCAGCCAATGTGAAATAAAAAAAGTTAAAGAAAATTACCCAGTGCACTCACTTACCTTATTTCCAAATTAGGCAACTGCTGAATTTTGACTCCTTTCAAAAATCAAAGCCATCTTCAAAGAATGGAAATTTACAACTTCAAATATATTACGGGAGTGTTTCTCCCCAAAACCTCAGGACAGAAGAAACGTTTTAGGGTTCTGTCCTCAGTATATCATAGTCCCCCGAGAGCACTGCTCCAAGGAGCAATGCTCCTTTGGAGGTAACCTTTTAGATAGCTGTTAAAAATCATTAGCTTTGACATTTAATAATTCATATACATTATTATAACACACCCCTGCCTAGTAGTACTTGATAGAACATCAATGGAAAAGAGGAGCTTCTTTAAGCAGTTGCTCTTGTGAGGTGCCATCCAGTTGGCTCCAACTCACAGTGACACATGTGCACGGAAGGAAGCACTGCCAGCTCTGGTCCCTACCACTCACCTGTGTCAGCGCCTGTTGGCGCAGCTGCCTTGCCTGCCCGTCTTAAAGGCGTCTCCTCCTTTTTATTGGTCCTCCATCAAGAAGGAAGTCCTTCTCCAAGGACGAGTCTCTCTGATACTGTCCAAAGTATGTGGGATTAAGTCTTGCCATCCTCACTTCAAAGGAGCACTCTGTCACCTTAGAGTGAATCTGGGTTGGAAAAACTACAAATTCTTCCAACACTGATTAATTCTTTCTTCTGGCAGTCTGTGGCATAGTCAATGTTTTTTGCCAACACCATAATTCAAAGGCAGGAATTCTTCTTTGGATTTCCATGTTCATTGTCCAGCCTTCTCATGCAATGGGACTGTTGTTCATAGACAGAGCGTTGTATATGTGTCCTGAAGCAACCATCGGGGCAGGCTTCATTCACACCTGCATTTCTCTCTCTGGCTCCCTGTCTGCTTCCAGACTTTCTCATAGCATCCGATGGATGCCATGGGTGAGCGCTTACTTGGCAGCTCAACTATTCCAAATGGATTCATTACACCTTCAACAATTCATTAAAACTTATTTGATCTCTTCTCACCTACCTATCACACATACTCATGTGTAAGCCGAGTTTTCAGCACATTTTAATGTACTTTTTGTGGTAAAATTATGTGCCTCGGCTGATATTCGGGTGGGCTTATGGTCGAGTATACACGATATGTGGTTGTCACAACTCCTTTTTTTAAGCTCTGGTGAATGCAAGCATGTTTATCTGTCAGATTTCTCTTAAAGAGACTTGCCTTGTCTTTGGGATTCGGATTGCTTTGTTGCCTTAGGGCCTGACGTTTCATTTGCACATCAGAAAAAGTTATACTTTTGTAGGTTATTCAGATTTGTTTCTGTTGTCTTTTTTTTAAATCATTTTATTGGGGGCTCGTATAACTCTTTTCACCATCCATCCATCCATTGTGTCAAGCACTTTTGTACATTTGTTTCCCTCATCATTCTCAAAATTTTTGCTTTCTACTTGAGCCCTTGGTATCAGCTCCTCATTTTCCCCTCCCTTCCTGCTCCCCACTCCCCGATGAACCCTTGATAATTCGTAATTATTATTATTTTTTCATATTTTACACCATCCAACGTCTCCCTTCACCCACTTCTCCGCTGTCCCTCCCCCAGGGAGGAGGTTATATGTAGATCCTTGTAATCTGTTCCCCCTTTCTCCCTCACCTTCCCTCCACCCTCCCAGTATCGCCACTCTCTCCACTGGTCCTGAGGGGTTCATCTGTCCTGGGTTCTCTGTGTTTCCAGTTCCTATCTGTACCAGTGCGCATGCTCCGGTCCAGCCGGATTTGTAAGTTAGAATTGGGATCATGATCAGATTTGTTTCTTATTGTGGGTATCAAATTGTTTGCAGCTTTATGAGGAGAATTCAAAAGGTCATGGAAAAGATAGAATTCAAAGGTAATGGAACTAACTTTTCCACAAATAGTTTGAAGCTTCTTTGTGTAAGTAGAAGCAGAAGTCAATAGGCATCATTATATTTCAGAATTCCTGAGCTGACTCTGATGAGCAGAGAGAAGGGAGAGAAAACTGCAATGAAAAGATTTGCTTAGGAAGAAAATGCTTTATAGAGCTATTTAAGCGGAAGTTAGTGTTAGGAGAATTATTATAAATCAAATCCTAATACAGCCTTTCAAAGTGGAACATTTCCAAGTTCATCGTGGAGGTAAATAAAAATATAGGTTTACTTCCTCACCCCAAAAGTAGTTTCAAAGTTTTCTGGTCTCTTTCTACAAACTTGCCCATCAACTTCTTGCAATTGGCCTAATTGTCAGAAAGAAGGTATTAGCCTAATGCTGTCCACACAAAGTGCTGCAGGATGTATTCTGATGTCAGGGAATCAATCACTTGTCTCTATCTCCAGTCAAAGTTTAAGCATCTCCAAACAAGGGAATTAAATGGAAAATCGAAAAGAACCTCTCTGCCCAGGTGCCTTTCTGAGTACACGTATCTCTCTGTTGGTAGAATCGCATTGCAAAGAGGAGCAGGAAACTAGTGGATTATGACAGTGCACGCCACCATCTAGAAGCTTTACAGAGCTCCAAAAGGAAGGACGAGAGTCGTATCTCCAAGGTAAGACAATGTACGGTAATGAATTAACCCCCTTCACATTGTATGACCTAGAGCAACGTGGCTTTTTAAAATAGATGTCCTCTTTTCAAATGAAAATGAAATCAGAACAGAATTTAAGTTAATGCCCGTGGATGGCTTCTCATTAGCTTTTTAACTAATGAGTTTTCTGTTGTTACTATATTCCTGCCATGTCTTTCACCCAGAGCAACTGATGGGTGCAAACTGCTGACCTTTTGGTTAGCAGCTGAGCACTTAACCAATGGGCCACTAAGACTCCTTTGCACAGAAGCCTGTGAGGCAATCCTTCATATGTCTCTTTTATGGACGAGGTGTGTGAAGTCCAGAAAGATAGAACAGTCTGACACAGTCACACAGCTAGTACATTAGAATTCCAACCCAAAGCTTTCCACCTTTAAGTATTTTGATCCTTCCATATTCAGTTAAAAGGCCACCTCCTCTGGGGAGCTGTGTGTTCTATACCATCGTCCCTCCCTCACAGCATGCTGCAGACTGGTAAGTCCCTCTGTCGCAGCACTAATGTAATGGATTGTCATTTAGACTTCCCCACTAGATGGAGGCTTCCTAAGGGGCGCATTCATGCCCAGTCTCAGGAAGGGATTTTGTTTTTCTAGAATGAATGAATGAACCACTGACCACAAGGGAAGCCATTGTAATCAGTGATGTTTTCCGAGACTTAATATTTCATTTTTTAAATAGAAAAAATAGTGAAATGTTTAAGCAGACGACTTTTCTCCATACCAATATATTTCTAGGTTGCCATAATATTCTACCTATTTTAAGTTAAAAAACATTGTTGCATATAGAATTTGCTTTTGTTTTTATGTGATTCTATCTTTTCAGTGGACACAAATGTTATGTGTCATTTCTAGGCAGAAGAGGAATTTCAGAAAGCGCAGAAAGTGTTTGAAGAGTTTAACGTCGACTTACAAGAAGAGTTACCGTCATTATGGTCAAGGTAAAGACATTTCTGTACCAACTATCTATGACCCTTTTAGAAGTTCAAAGACTGACTATTCATTCCGGACTTGGTCGTTATTGGTCTGTGATGCTTTAGTGCTGTCCAAGAGAATTGTTCCATCTCCCCTTTTTAATCATGGTAGCCTTGATTTAACTACATGTGGTGGTTGATCACTTGAAATGGGATTAGTCGGTTTGAGGAACTTCATTTCAGAATATAGGTGTATATATACCCATGTAATTTCCTTCTGCTTGCTTTAGGCTAGATTTTTTTTTTCTTCTTGACCCTATCGTCTTTAGGTTAGGCTGTTGATTTTGAGATTGTTCTTTTTTTAACATTTGTATTTATAGCTATAAATTTCCCTGTAAGCACTGAAATCAGCTGCTTCCCACATGTGGATACATTTTAATTCATTTAGGGTGCTTTCTTATCTCCTTGGTGATTTCCTCTTGGACCCATTAAATTTTTTTCCCCAATGGAATGTGCTTTTATTATAGCAGGATTGTCTTTCTTCAGGACACGTTGCTTCCCTACCAGTACCAGTGGTTGTTGAAACATTTCCAATTCTGGCTGACCACCCACGTGTGTCAGGGAATAGTGTTCCATTGTATTTTCTTTTCCAAAAACATCATTTTATTGGGGGCTCTTACAGCTCTTCTAAAAATCCACACATCAATTGTATCAATCACATTTGTGCATATGTTGCCCTCATCATTTTCAAAACATTTTCTTTCTACTTGAGCCCTTAGTATCGGCTCCTCTTTTTTCTCTCCCACCCCCACCCTGTTATTTTCATGTCTTATACAGTCCACTGTCTCCCTTCACCCATGTTTCTGTTGTTTGTCCCCCTTAGCAGGTGGGAGAGGGGGTGTTTTATGTTGATCATTGCGATCGGTTACCCCTTCCTCCCCCAAGACAATTGGATACATTCCCCCCACCCCACCCCTGGATGAGTTATAAGGAAGGGATGGTTTAACCATGGTGCAGTATAGCACCAATGAAGCACGCATCATTCCGCCAGTTCCTCAGGACTTCCTCCCCGTCACTACCATGACCCAGTTCTACCTTACAAATCTGGCTAGACCAGAAGACACACATTGGTACTTTAAAAACTCTCGACACTTGGAATTCAGAACAGATAATCCCCTTAGGAACAGTAGTGGGAGTAGCGATATCATAAAGGGAGGGAAAGGGGGAACCCATCACAAGACTGGATATATAGCCTCACTGCCCCCACCCCCACCCCATGGGGATGAATAACAGAAATGTCGGTGAAGGGAGACAACGGACAGTGTAAGATATGAAATAATAATAGCAATATATAATTCATTAAGGATTCACAAGGGTGGGAGGGTAGAGCAGTGAGGGGGGAAAAGAGGAGATACTTATACCATGGGCTCAAGTAGAAAATGTTTTGGAAATGAATATGGCACCATATGTACAAATATGCTTGATAAAATTTTGATAAAATTGATGTATGGAATGTTATAAAAGTTGTAAGGTCCCCCAATAAAAATGATTTAAAATAAAAATGAAAGAAACTTCTAGTTTGTTCAAAACATTCCAAGCAAAACAAGGTGCAATAAATTTAAAAGACTGAAATCATACCAAGTCCATTCTTAGACAGCAAATAATTGAGATTAGAATACAGTAATATAAATAAAAGTGGGAAATCCATAAATACGTAACAACTAAGCAAAACCCTTAAAAAAAACAATGGGGATGCCCAATTGTCTAGATGGGCTTTGGGTCTCCACTCTAACCCTCCTCATTTGCATCGATATGATTGTTTGTTTTGGGTCTTCTCATGCCTGATACCTGATCCTATGGACACCTCTTGATCACACAGGCTAGTGTGCTTCTACCATGTAGGCTTTGTTGCTTCCCTGCCTTTTGTTTAACTTCAAGCCTCTTTGACCTCAGATGCTATATCTTCTAATAGCTGGGCACCATCAGCTTTCTTCACCATATTTGCTTATACACCCATTTTGTCTTCAGTGATCGTGTTGGGCAGATGAGCATCACAGAATGCCAGGTTATTAGAACAGAGTTCTTGTGTTGAGGGAGGGCTTGCTACTTTAATACTTAACATATAAATTGATCTATATCCCTATCATTATATATTAATATATTTACAAATATACATGCCTATATTTATACCTTTATAAATGTCTTTTGCCTCCTATTCTTTCCTCTATTTCCTTTTACTTTACTCCTGTCCCACTATCATGTTTGATGTTCACTTGACTCTCCATAGTTCTTCTCAGCTACATTGCACTTGATTAAAGTCCACCAGGACATCCCCTCACAGAAGGGTCACAGGGAAGGAAAGAAGGAGTCAGCCAAGGTGTAGTATAGCATCAGAGAAACACACAACATTCTAGTTCTTTGATGGTTCCCCTGCTCCCAATATTATGACCCAGTTCTACCTTACAAATCCAGCTCGACTGGAGTGCATGCATTGGTACAGAAAAGATCTCTCGACATGGAATCCGGGACAGATAAACCCCTCAAGAACAGTAATGAGAGTAGCAATATCAAGAGAGTAGGGGGAAGAAAGGGAGTAAATAATTACCATGTAGGTAAAAAAAGATATTGCTAGTTGAGGTAGAATGTGAATAAAGGCATGGGGATTGAAGCAAATCCGGGGTTCATAGAAGATTAGTTTGTGTAATTTACAAGAGTTTAGAGTGAACATATTTAGAATGGGGGTTGCAGCAGAGTGGTAGGGGTCAGATCGTTTATCATTTCAAATATTTAGTGACTACTTACTGTGTATCAACTACTCTTTTGTTGTTGTTAGTTGCCATCAAATTGGTTCCAACTACTAGTGACCCTGTGTACAACAGACTGAAACTCCGCCCAATCTTGTACCATCTCACAGTTGTTCTTATGTTTGAGTCCAGTGTTGTAGCCACTGCATCAGTCCATCTCCTGGAGGATTTTCTCTTTTTCAGGTATAACGTCCTTCTCCAGGAACTGCTCTCTCCTGGCAATGTGTCCAAAGTACATGATATGAAGTCTTGCTATCCTTGCCTCTAAGGAGCATTCTGTCTAAACTTCTTCCAAGCCAGATTACTATGTCCTTATAACAGTCTATGTTACTTTCAATATTTTCCTCCAGCACCATAATTCAAACGCATTGATTCTTCGTCTGTCTTCCTTATTCAATGTTTGCGTTAGTCTGGGTACATTAGAGAAACAAATCCACAGAAACTCATGTATAAGAGAGAGTTTTATATAAAGGTTAAGTGGACATCAAGAAAACATCCCAACACAGTGCTGCCCAGCCCACAAGTTCAACATTAACCCACATGTCCGACACCAATCCACAAAGTCTTCCTCAATCTCACAAAACACATGCAATTCCTCCTGACTGCAGGAGGAAAGCAGAGTCAGTGAATTTGTAAGCATCTCAGCGCTGGCAGTGATCTCCACACGGTTACTCCAACACCCAGGGCTGCATCGAGGTAGGTCCATGTGGCTTCTCCTCAGGGATGTCTTTCAGGAAGTGAGCCATGCCAGTTGAAGCAGGGAACTGGCTAAGGAAACTACACCCTGGCCTGACCATCACAAAGCAAGAGACCCGAGAACTAGAAAGGCGAGGCTCACTGAGCCATTTCTAACTCTGCCCTTCAACTCTGCCCACATGCGTTTATCGGCTAGGTTGGCACAATAAACTAACTACCTCAAAGTCCAACTTTCACATACATATGAGGTAATGGAAAATGGCTTGGTTCAGATGCACCTTAGTCCTGAAAATAATATCCTTGCTTTTCAATATGCTAAAGAAGTCTTGTGTAACAGATTTACCTAATACAATTCATCATTTGATCTCTTGACTGATGCTTCTATGAGCATTGATTGTGGATCTGAGCAAGATGAAATCCTTGACAACTTCAACCATTTTCCAATTATCATGGTTACCTCTTCATCCAGTTGTGATGATTCTAGTCTTCTTTTCATTGAGTCTAAATCCACACTGAAGACTGCAATCCTTGATCTTCATCAGCAAGTGTTTCAAGTCTCCTACTTTCAGCAAGCAAGGTAGTGTCATCTGCCTATTGCAGGTTATTAATACACCTTCATTCATTCCTGATGTCACGTTCTTTTAAGTATAATCTAGCTTCTCTGATTATTTGCTCAGCATACAGATTAAAGAAATGTAATGAGAGGATATAATCCTCATTTTAAACCATGAAATAATTTCTTGTTCTGTTCTTGATCCAACTGCCTCTTAATCCATGCACAGATTCTACACAATTGACGTGTTTTGGACTTCCCGTTTTTCTCAAGACTCTCCATGGTTTCATCCACACAGTACTCTCTTAGGTGCTAGTAATCCTGTGCTAAAGAGTTATGTTTTTGTGATGTTTACATTAAAGGAGGAAGAAAGGCAACTATCAGCCAACCAGTTCAATTTGGAAATAAAATAAGAGACTAGAGAGTGACTCAGGATATGGGTAAATAGACTGAATGGCTAGGGAAGATTTCTCTCAGAGAGAGAGAATATGTGATGAAATGCAAGTAAGCAGCTCAAAGTCTCAGACAATATTCTGTGATCCATAAATTTCACTAGCTGAATTCTAGACCTTTCTTCCTGGTCTGTCTTAGGAAATTCTGCTAAAACCTGCCTACTATAAGTAACCCTGCTGGTATTTGAAATAATACCAGTGGCATAGCTTCCAGTATCATAGCAACATGCCAGCCCCCACAGCACAACAAACTAACAGGTAGATTGTAGGAATATAGTTATGAACTGGTCAAGTGCAGTCCCTACTTTGGGAGAGTCTCAGATTTTGTAAATTGGAGCAAATCTTTATAAGAAAATTTCCTTTAAAATGTTGCATACTGTTTCTAAATAAATACATCCCAATTGATATAATTTTTAAATTCGAAAATAAAAATCTTAGGAAATTATAGATATATTTAGATAATTAGATATATAGATAATTATTATAAGATAAAAATGTAGATATGTAGATAATTATTCTAAGGAAAGTCTTCTTGGCACTACCCCAAAGAATAAAATCATGGAGAGAATAATTGATAAAACAAGTTAAGGTATTTCTGTATATCAGAAAACAAAATGTAAAGTTAGAAGAATGGATGCTTTGTTCTGATTCATTATTTGTAAATGTATCCAAGGTAAATATCTATACAGAAATGCTGTTACAAATTGCAAAGAAAAACACTAAGGAAATCAGTGAGCAATGGGCAGAGAATGTGAGTTACGTTATTTTGTTGTTGGGTGCAGTTGAACGGATTCCAACACATAGGACCTGACAGGAGAAAGGAGAATTGCCCTAGAGGATTTCCTAGACCGAAACCTTATGGGAGCGTCTGATCAGATCCATCCTTCCTCAGACTGGAAGGTCGTTCTGACCTGGCGACCTCTAGGTTAGAGGCCACATTCGTAGCCGTGCTACCAAGTCTCCTTGCTTCCTACTACGGACTTAAACATGAAGACTGAAGGGACTGGCATTGAACAAGCCACAATGGATCTGTTTCATGCAGTTTTACGTCTGTGAATGAGACAGTGTGAGTTTTTATTTCATTCAACGGGCTCTCACTGTTTCGAAAGAATTGGAATTCCTTTGTGTTTTATATTTCCCACTACCAAACAAATCTCAGAGTCCAAATATGAAACACTGCTGCCTAGAGTATTTTGATTGTATAAAATGAAGACCGCCTCAACCTCAGAACCTTTACAAAGTTACAAATCTGAAAGCCAAGCTTGCATTCCTAAGGCAGTGGCTGTGAAAATGTGGTTTCTGGTAGCGATGTAAATGCTCTGTCTCCAGCCCAGACCGGAGCCTCCAAGATGAGCCCTCCAGGTGAAGTGGATGGACACTAATGCTGAGGAGAGATTTGCTCTGTGTGGAAGGATTCTCAGTGCATCACCTGTCAGGAAAATCTAGACATCTATTTAGATTAAGTATTAAATGTATTTAGTCCAGTGTTGCTTGCGTTGTGTTAAGAAAATCTGTTTTTCATATGCGCCATTGCCACTGAAAGTACATTTCTGGTGACTCCCCCTCCCCCTCTCCCTTGTCTCCCTCTTCCTGTTTCCATGCTGTAGACGAGTTGGATTTTATGTCAATACTTTCAAAAATGTTTCTAGCCTCGAGGCCAAGTTTCATAAGGAGATTGCAGTGGTGAGTAATGATTATTTTTACTGATGGAATGTAAAGTTATGCCAAAGAATTCGCCCTTTTTGCATGCTTTTTTCATCATGTATGTGGCTCTTTGTATTATTTCTGCATTTTAAGTGACTGCTGTTCTTGCTGTAGATTGGAGGTTTTATTTGCATGCATGCAGAAATACTCTCAGGAATCCTTGCCTGTGTTCATCTTCTTCAGAACGTATTTGCTATTTCCCTCCTGTCACACCTCAATCCTTGCTTACGTATTTGTTTTTTCCAGTCAGTTTATAAAGTTGGACTTTCAAGGGATGGTTTAGGCTCATAAGAAAAAACGTGTCACAATATATTCAGCGAGCCAGCAGCTTGGTCACGAAGTAACAACCGTGTCTCGGTTCGCTCAGGGGCAGTGGGCCTCTGTCTTGGGTAGGGCCCCCAGAAGCAACCCTTTTGTTTTCTGCTCTGAACTGTGACGAACGGAAGACCCGAGCGGTGCCGAAGTGAGCACACGCGGCTGTTAAGAGACGGCCGCGGGTTCAAAGCCTGGCGGTCTGCCTCTGACAAACATCAGCCATTGACCACCCCGTGGAGAGCTCAGCTCTCCTCTGACTCACCCGGGGTCATCATGGAATCAGAATCGACCAGGCCGCCACTGATTTTTTTTTTTTAGTTTATTTTGTGTTTTGATTTTTATTAGAATTTTTAACCTGCACCAGCTGCCGAATTGAATTATCCCGCGAGCACTCATCATCGCATAAGAGAGTGAGCTGCTTAATTAAGGATTTCTTTCTTGGGGGAAGGGTCTGAATTGACACCCAAATGACCTGCACTTAGTAGGATGCCTCTGTTCCCATAGCTTTGCCACAAACTGTATGAAGTGATGACGAAACTGGGTGACCAGCACGCCGACAAGGCCTTTACCATCCAAGGAGCTCCCAGGTAGGATACAACGCCCCAGCGCTACCTTTGCCATAAGTGCTGCTTACTGTCGTGTCATGGTGTGCACACGTGCCTGTCCTTCTGTCCATCTGGTAACGTCTAAGAGGAGCCTTTCCTTTGAGAGGTCAGACACCAGAGCTAGCCGCCCGGGGCTCCTGTGGCCGTCACAGGAGAGGGGCCCTGGTGCCGCAGTGGGTTACATGTGGCCCACAGGAGAAAGCAAGGAAGGCGTTCTGCTTCCATCAAGATGGACAGCCTTGGAAACCCACAGGGACAATTTTATTCCATCACCTACGGTCATTGCGAGTCAGACTTGCTGAAGGTCTAAGTTACTATTAAGTTTAAAAAGAATAGATGTTATTTACCTAAGCTTTTTATAAGGTAATATGTAATTGTGACATTCTGTATTTGCAGTTTGAATGGCACACAAAGCCAGTAATCACTTCGGATACCCGCAGTAAATGGCACGGGGCCCATATCTGACCTCCTCCAGCTTCCCGAGTGCCGTGAGGCAAGGGTCAGACTTGCTTCCATAATCCATCTTTCTTTAACAATGGTGGCACCAACCATTCCTCACGCAGCACTCTGCATTTACAGTGGGTTTGATAGCTCACTGTTTGGCTACCCAGAACTGACAGACAATCCTCACGTTCAAGGAGATGTGTTAGGGGAGTTAGCAGGTCACCATAAGTCAGGATCAGTAAACAGTAAGGACACAGTCATTGGTCCAAAGCAACACCCCTCCTCAGCCAGCAAACCAGTCTCTCTCTGGACATCAGCCTCTCAGCCACATGGTCCCTTGGCCTCTGCCTTCCTGGCCTAGGAGGCCCACCTGTCACTCTGTCTCATAGTCCCAGAGTCTCGGCACTGCTCATCTTGCAGTGTCCCATAGTTGTAGCAGGAAAGTGCCGCTCATAGGTTTCAGCCACTTCAGGCAGCGATCTGGAACATGCTCTTCTGATGGGCCTGGGCTTTCTTTCTGTGCCCGAGCTAGCTCTCGTGCACAGAGGACTGGCATTGAAGAGTGGGGTTTGTCGTTCAGCTGACCATACCCCTGAGGAAATAAAGGGTGGGATTTGGTTTACACCCTCTACTGAATTAGAGATTAAGCTCACCTTAATTCTATCCCCAGTTGCATAGCAGAAAATATCCTCTAAAATAGGATTGTAACCACAGGCATAGACTCCAGGACTATAATACATCACATAATATGGCTAGAAAGGTCATATTAATTGATTACATTTCATTACTTCATTGTCCACACACATATTTATGAAAGCACACGCTTCATACATGTGTACCAGCATCTTTGAATGCTAGTGTTGGGGTTCCTCTGGAGATACTAAATTTCATATTTCTTGTTCTTTCCATTAGACATACTGTAGTCTGTACTGTGGCCACTATATTGAATGAGCATGAAGTTTATCTTCTCTTTCTCAAGGAAATAAGATGTTTTAACAAAACATACAAAAGGAGTAGAGCAATATTTTTCATTATGATTACTTCAATATTGGTTTAGGCACAAAGAATTAATTGAAATGGAAATATAAAATTGATATTTGGGGTGTTTTAGAAATGAGGTACATATTATTTCAAAGGACTCATGGCCCACAGGAACCACAGCCTACTCTTGTCTGAGATGAGAAGAACTAGATGGTGCCCAGCTACCACTACCAGTTGTCTCTACAATAGAAGTTCCTGGTTAGAATGGTATGAAATATAAAACAAGGCTGGATATATGGCCCACCCCCAAGGGGGAAAAATAACAGAAATGTGGGTGAAGGGAGACAATGGGCAGTATAAGACATGAAACAAAACCAAAAATAATGTATAATTAATCAAGGATTCACAAGGGTAGGAGGCATGGTGGAGGGGTGGGGGTGGCCTGGAGGGTGAGTAAAAAGGAGGAGCTGATATCAAGGGCTCAAGTAGAAAGAAAATGCTGGGGAAATGTTGATGGTAACATGTATAAGTGTGCTTCATACAATTGAATGATGGGTTGTTATGAGATTTGTAGGAGCCCCCCCAAAATAAAATGATTAATAAAAAAGGGGGGGAAAACTCTCAAATTAAAAAAGACCCAACTTTATGGTCTGAGAGAGACTAGAGGAATCCCCAAGACTCATCCCAAGTCACCCCTTTAATGTGGAACTAAAGCTATTCCTGGAAGCCACCTCTTAACCAAGTAAAAGACTGGCTTCTAAAATAGCCAACACCAACTATGAGGGATGGTCTCGTTAGAAGAATGAACTATATGAGAGCAAAAGGGCAACAGTTACCCAAAAGCAAAGACAAGGCAGGAAGGAAAACTGGACAAATGGAAATGGGGAGCCCAGGATGGAATGGTAAGAGGACTGATACGTTGTGGAGACTACAACCAATGCCAAGGAAACGTTAGGTATGAATTATTGAATAGAAAACTAATGGCCTGGGTAAACCTTCTGAAACACAGTAAAATATTTAACACGCCCCCCCCCGAAAAAAACATAGTATTACCAAAGGAAAATGAGGTACATGAAAAAGTTAACAGTTGCTGCTTCACGTGGCAAAGAAAGAGACTAGAAATCCCACTGCTGCTGAATCAGACAAAATTAAGAAAAAGTATGGCTATGACGCCTTGCCAAATCCATTCTTTTTTTCCCACTTTCTTTCACAGAGCAAGGTGGTAAGTGAGCTCAGTGGGCTCCCTACTAACGCGGGCATACACTGATAGACTGGGACTTTGCTTCCTGCCAGATTTGCTGCATGATTGCTGCCAGCCAGCCTAACCATGCAGTGTTCACAGCTTCCCTAATGTACCCCATTCCCCGCCCTCTGGACTCTGCACAGCCCCTACTGCCTCCAGTGTAGATTACACTCCTGGAGTAGACTGTGCCTGAGTGTCGTTCTTAGTCACCCTAGGTGGACTGTTCAGATGCATCTGCTGCAACACATGGTAGGTTCTCAGTAACCATCACTGAGTCTCATACATCACAAAATATTTTTACGTATTTCACATCGTCTGGGTTGAAAGTATGGAAAGATAACTAGTAAATTTGTTTATTTCCCAATGTTATCAGAAAGCAGCCCTATAAAATTAATACCATCCTAAGGATTCTTAATATAAAATGTCTCACTTTGAAAATAGACATTTCTGTGGATTGGGAGTGGGTTTGGGTTTGGGATGCTCCCCTTCAAAGAGCCCTGAAGGTACTTAGTTGCTAATCAAAAGACTGGCAGTGCAAATCCACCAGCTGCTCTGAAGGAGAAAGATGTGACATCTGCTTTTGTAGAGATTTACAACCTTGGAAAGTCTACATGGCAGCCCTGCTCTGTCCTGTAGGGTTGGTATGAGTCAGAACTTACTCGATGGCAGTGGAGTTGGTTTTGGGTTATGCTCCACTTCACCTGCCTGTAGAATGGGGGCAATGTAGCTATTGTGAACTAACT